AACTGTTACTTGCAGATTTATTAGATAAAAATGTAAAATAATTGTTGTTTTAGATTTATAAAATAAATGTCAGAAATAACGGTTATTTAAGGAGTAATGCAATAAAAGTCAAAAAATAATTGTCAAAGAACGATTTTTTTAATACAAGTTGTAACTGTCCCCTGGTGCCCTCCTGAAATACTCTCATTGTGATTGTTCAAAATCGCTTGGAACAAATTCAAATTTTTTTTTGTGATACGTTGTAGTGTACATTTAAATTATTTTCCAGCCACTAACTTTCTTTATTAACAATTTTAGAAACGTGATAGGAATTGAAACAAACGTATTTAATTTTATTCTTGCCTAAATCTTAACTATGTCTTTCGAAATTTTTTAACAAAGTTAAAGTTCTTTTTGGTTCGCACTAAAAAAAATTAAAGTAATTAGTATTCAAATATTTCAACATGCACATTTGTGTATTCCTTTAGAACTTTTTTTCCTAATGTATAATCGTTTGATGTACACAAAGTGTTTGTCATCACCTGTCGGAGTGAAGTAAGACAGCAAAAGAATGAGTGTCTTCCGTCTTTTCTTCATTACCATCTACTCATGCCACTCATGCTGCTTAGATGATGGTATTGTTGTTGATACACACATACATATGTAAGTGTGTTTGTATTTATTTTAGCTCTTGGCTTTGTTTTTAAATTTCAATCAACTTCCCAAAATTGTGGTTCCTTATTAATTTTCCATGTTGCTCTTTTGTTTGCTTTTGACTTTGTTTATGCGTAGCATAAATAATTTGATAACAATTGATTGCTAAACAGTCATAAATGGAAATTAACCAGTTACAAATTTGATTGACACCGCCCAGTAAATATGTAGTGGGTGTGGCATTTGATAAAATCCTTATCTCGCCATGTTGCACAATGCAAATGGGTTTTAATATGACTGTGACAGTAAGGTACCAAAAAATACGCCTTTAGTAGGTGTGGCACTAAATATTGTATAGCGGCATCAATTAAAAATAGCGCATTAAACAGGGATTGCACGAGTTGTACCTTTGTACAGATTTGTACATTTTCATAGCTACAGAGAGTTGTTGTTGGCAAAGTTTTTATTGATCTGACAAAAAATTATGGACAACACCACTCTGTAGTTGCTAAATGTGCAATTGTACAAATCGTGTTATCCCTGCTAATGTTCATTAATTTTTACTACGGTAGATAATTTTCGTTTCTGGCAGAGTTGCTTTATTTCGAAATTGAAAGATCTGCTACAGAGGATTCCTTAGCATTATTATGTTACATTATAAGTTATCTAAAAATTAAATTAAACAAAACTAATAATTTTATTTTAAAAATTTAAATTCTAAATTTAAGGAACAGAATTTATTAAAAAACCAGCATATACCCGTATAAAACGTATTTTTTTGTTGTTTGATACCCGTATTGTAATATTTCATTTATCTTATCAAATAAAGTAAGTTAAATTTTTTAAACAGCTGGCAACCCTTCTCAAAACTATTTTCTACTACATGTACTATGTATTTATTTGTAAACTTTCCTAAACCTCTTCAGTTTGATAGCCATATTGCAATATTTAATTTATCTTATCACTTCGGTTAAATTAAAATTTTTAAACATTTGGTAACCTCCACACAAGTATTTTCGACTTTAAGTCTTCTTAAACCCCTTTCCTTTAACATCCAGGATGCAATATTTACATACACCTATTAATTTACTTCAACTGCGATTTTCACACAGGTGGCAACTCTATAATTTTTTTCCTTCTATATATTAGGCTAGACCTCTAGCAATACATAGGTGAAAACCGCATTCTGTTTCATGCATTAGTTTTCGAGTCATGCGCGTACAAATATTTATATAGACAGACAGACAGACAAACGGACGGACAGACACACAAAAATTCTAAAAATTGTTGATTTGGTTTCCATTGCTCAAATAAAGACCCCTCATATTAATTTTTTTTCAATATGTATAATGAGTGTACAGTCATCGGCAACGTAAAATTAAAATTTTATCATATTCATATTTATTATATAGATAAAAATATTTAATTAAAAAAAATAAGGTGATGAAAATTAAATGAAATTTAAAAGCAATTATTTTTAAAACAATGAATCTAAAAATAAAAAAAAATTAAGAAATAAAATAAGTTACTAAAAATTAACCGAAATTAAAAAAAAATCTTTTTTAGGCAATAATGTTGAAAAAATTTAAAGAAGAAAAAAATAATATGTTTTTGTTATTTTTTGGCCTTATAACAATTATATTCAACAATTTTTATGAGCTTGAGGCCGTTAATTTGAAAAAATGCTATTCGGAAATCACCACATTTCCTCATCAGATTTCTTTCAGTAGGATTCGAACCGACGATCACCACTGACTCAGCCAGTTGCCTACGCACTGTGCTAAGTTTGTCTTGTTAATTCTTGATGCTTATTTTCCACTATTTCACTTTGCTAAGCCAACTACAATCAAGCGCAGCTATTCCGCTGCAATTCACTTGATCATGTGGTTGTTGGTTTTGTTGGTTTTTGTTAATATTTCTATTATTAGAATGTTTAACTTTTAGGTGTGCTCGTCCTTAAGTAATTGCAGCGGAATAGCTGCGCTTGATTGTAGTTGGCTTTCTTGCAAGATCTTTCAAACTATCTCGCCTAATGTCCTTCAATTGTCCTACAAATTCAAGCCTTGATCTTTTATTCAATTTTAAAAAATCTGAAAATTTTTATACACTCCGGGCCAAGCTCGGCCACCCTGGTACTTTTCATTTAATCGCCAATGGGAATTGAACTATCATGATGATTCTACTCCACCAAGCACGAAAGAAGCGTTGTGTGCAGCCAGAATTAATTTTCGCAACAAATCTAGAGTAAACAGTCATCAAAAACTTTCCCAACACGCGTGAACTTTTGCACTCCGCAACGTCGTTCTCCATACATATGTACATACACGCACATCAATCACACCGTTAAACATACAAAGTAAAGAGGAAAATCTCCACAACAGCTACTCGTATAATGAAAATATTAATTAGCGTAAAAAGAATAGGTAAGCGAGAAGCCTGGGGTGGGGTGCTGCGTGGCGGCACTCGACGCAAAGCGATTTCTAGCTGCTTACTCAACTTTTCAACAGCACATGCACGCACGCATCTTACACATTACAATTGCAACATGCTGCCAAAAGAGCGCTTTCGTTTAGGTTGTTGTTCTTATTCTTGTTCTTGTTCTTGCTTTCCGACGGCACACGTTCACGTGTGCAAATGCAACACCAGCAAGCACAGACAGGCAATCATCGAGACGTCATCAAAATAACCGCAGCCGCTATGTGCAGACATACTACTACTACATTAGCACAACAACAAAGAACACATCTAACCACAAAATTTATGCGCCAACTTTGCAATCTGTTTACTTATTGCATAATACCCACAAGTCTGTCATTCTGTCCATACATCGGGCATCCCAACTCTTCTAGATTGGCCACAACATCATCAATCTGCGCCTAGTCAACTTTCGCCGCCTCCCAACTTGTGTATCACCGCGCCCGCCTGCTCAACATCGCCAGCGCCCAGTTAACGTGCCTCAGGCTAACCAGGCGGTGGGTCGTTCGGTCGCCTTCTTATTTAACCCAAAAATAAAACTAAAGTTGGCTGGCGCACTTCTGTTTATATTTCGTGTCTGCAACTAATTGGAAAAACATTTGAAAAATGAAATCAAATTTAGAAATATCTAAAAATATCCCAAACTCGTAGGCATAATGCTTTTGAATTGCAGTAACCGCAACGTGTACGCAGCAGCTGCAATAAGCCAATAGCAACAGCAACAGCAACGGGAGTACCTAAATAAGTACAAGTAAAACAATTCTGGCGAAGTTTGGGTGGCTGTCGCCGGCAGAAAGCCGACAAATGGCTGGTGGCTAGGTGTATTGCGGCAATGCGTCTGCTTCCATTCACCTCACAGTTCTGGTTATGTACTCCTGTCTCGCATCATAACAAATACCGCCCTTACTTCGTTCGCCTCGCAGGGCGCGGTGGGCGCAAAGGCTGTTTTTTTTTTTTTTTTTGTGGCTGGGAGCTCGCTCGCTCGTCGACAAATTTCCTCAAGCAAATCAACAACATACCGAATTATTACCCAAAAATAGAAAAGTGTAAGCAACCTCAAGGAGTTGGTTGTTGTTATGGCTGCTTTGCTGCAGTTTGGGATATGTAAATAATTCAAGTGAATACCTCAACATGTCCAGCGTGGATGATGAGCCTGGGCAGAGTCTTGAGGTGTATGTATTTGCGTGTATTTATTTTCGTTGTATTGGGCTAGCGCATCCATCCTCATCTGTACTCTGCGTGTTGAATAGTTCATTTGAACTTAGGCTCTGTTCATAGTTCATACATACCGCATACTCTACGCAACGGTAATTTGGCTATAATTTGATTTTAATCACTCGAGTTTAGTGCGCTGAGTGTAATAAATTACAGCTGCCATTAATCAGACAGTCAGGCTATTTTTGTATGGTTTGTTGCTGCTTGCATTGGCGTCGAAATCGACGTGGGTCTCAATGAGGTGTCGAGTTGATCGTACCCAGTTTCTTGAAAGAATGCTGTGGGGGATGAAAGTGATAAATTTGCCCTTGACAAGTCAAAAGAATTTGAAAAATGTTTTCACAATTCTCCAAACATTTTTTAGAATGCTTAAAGTTGAACTCTCGTAAATTTTTTTT